AATATATATATATTTTTTTTTATTTTTTTTTTTAGTTTAACATTTTTCTTAGTTCATATCTTAGACCTTTTTACAGTTTTTCTTTTACATTTTATACTTTTGTTTGATGTAACTGGGACCCTGTGTACACAATTTCATTCCACCACATGTACCACATGTGGTTTGTATGACAAAGAACCCTGAATCCTTGAATATTCTCTGAAGTGAAGACAATGATTAAGTTTATTATCTGATTCTTATATTCTAATATTAGAGCACACATACCAGAAAAATTATTTATTTTCACTAAATATGAAGTACTGTGACATCTGTAATGCTACAGGATCTATGTAAGGAGAGCTCAGTCATTTTTTTTAATTCAGAAAACCAACTTTATTTACTCACAATGCAGTTCAAAATAAAAGCTTAAATTGAACATAAAAAAAAAAAACAATGTGGTGTGTCTCTGTGTGTGTGCTGTGTGATTGGACGCATGAACCCCAGCAGGAGATTGTTTTAGTGCACTGTACTCCATGATTATGCGTCTTCAGTTTGCCTGTTCTGGACGGAGGAGCAGAATAAGCACCACCTTCTAATGCCCACCCTGGCATCCCCTGACTGAGTCTTTGTGAAGGGTGTTGGTGTTAGCACGAAGCACCTGCATCTAGCTGTGTTTGTTCAGTCTCCATCCAACCATTGTCAAACACCCATCTCCCTTCCATGACAGTTTTGACCAGCATGATCGTGTCTGAAGGTGGCAGGAACAGCAAGATATGTAGACTTGTTGTGATGAGCAGCATACCTCATCTACAAGCCTCAGAATCATTTTGGTGATGTTCTCTTGATGGTCTGCATTTGCTGGCATAAGTGTTTAATGAACATGAATCCTATTCAGGATTTGAAGACGTCTGTCTGAGCGTCTGTCATTGGGTCCTCCTCTTCATCAGATGTGTCGTTACTCAGAGTCACATTAAATCCTCTTCCTCGGACACATCCTCAGTGTCACTCTCACGACAAAATCTGTGTTCAACACCCCCACAGTGAGAGCAGCTCTCCCTCATGCTGACTGCTGCTACAGAATGAAATAAACAACAGCTCACCACAACCATATTTATAGAAGCCAGTCTTTAATGATAGTCAAAATGTATCAATACTCTCAGAGCAAGTGTGTGTTCACGTGTAGAATGGGTGGAGTAGTGTGTGTGTGTGTGTGTGTGGGTGTGTGTGTGTGTGTGAGTGTGCAAGTGCAGTGTGAATGCTGAGTGCTGAATGACTTTATTAAAATATGCAGGGAAGAAGCTGAAACCATA